TGCAGGCACAGTTCGACGCATGTGTAATTTTGAGTCTTCTGTGTTCGACCTATCCGTGTTCTACTGTAGTTTTCACACCAAAAAAGGCTGTTTGTCGAGCCCCTCCGACCCGGCCACTTCTCAACTGGGGTCATCGTGACCTGCTCACAATCTACAAAGTCAACACACAGGCTTAGACCAGCCACATCATATCTTTCATGATATACGTACAGCAAAATCTTGGGTTTGAATGAGAGTTGGAAGAAGATTCATAATTAATAAATTATACGGTTACAATACTGACTATATCACAAGTTAATTAATGAAAAAAACCCTCAAAAGTCCACGAGTGTAAAATCTTACTACTCTTCCCATCAGTTCCGAGTGCGGATATTGCTTGAGCTACGGGGAGGTCTCGCGGACACCCCACAAGGTCTGGTCTGTGGAGACCCGAGGTTGGAAAGATGATGGGTGACGGGTGACTATCCACTCCACAAAAACTGCTCCCAACCACGTCCTACTAGACACACGCGACTCTTCGCCAACATTTAGCACTGACAAGCAACGTCAATTCCCCCAAGACAAACGTGTGCGAAACTGAAATGAGTTATTTACAACTGATGAAAATTTCCCCCCCTCAATAAATCGTCCTTTTGAATGAGCTTGAACATTCAAGTGAAAGTTTTTCTATAAAAATGTCATTTCATTCATCATGAAGCAATACAAAGGTGACACCACGACACATTCACTTTAGCGCATCTGTTAATGAAAATATACAAGATAAAATTTTGCGCGTTCATGTACATCTACCACACCACAAAATGACACACAAATAAATCCGTGGAAAATACGGTGCGATGCAACAAAGCATACGCCATCGTTAAGATATAAAAAAGCTTCCTACACAAGCACACACACAAATAGACCTCGTTACAAATAGCTGTACAGACATTCGCGTGTCCACATTCAAAATGCAGAAACACGTACGTTTCTAAAGTCGAGTCAAAAATATTTTAAAAATGACAAGCCTTGCGACTGCCCAGAATTTGGCACTCCTTACACACAACACACACACACAACACACACACACACACACAACACACACACACAACACACACACACAACACACACACACAACACACAACACACACACACAAGGACAAGAGTCTGCCCAAAGTGGTCACAAAAGTCAAGGAATCTGTCTCAGAAATATTGTAGCCAAAACAACACCCCACATCCCCCCCCAAGAGTAAAAGACACAGACTAGCGCTTGTGTCATGCAGTCACAGGACACAGAAAACAGTACTGGCCCAAATACAGATCTGACTGTACCATAGACAAAACAAAACATCCGTATATATATAGCGAGTCTCAGCGTAGACACCATCAGCTCAATCTGGACACACTTATTACATCCCTCTTCTCTTCCTGGTCCCATCAACACATCGCCACACGCGACCTTGAGGTCAACCGGAATCTTTGACACTAAAATCTGGCATCCATCCCCACTTAACTACCACAGCTCCACACAACCGGTGTAGTTGCAGTGTA